TTTCATAAGTCCATGACATAACAGCATTGCTCTTACGAAATTTTGTTTAGGGCAAGTATGCTATTTTAAGTCCATTCATATCTATTTGGTCACTACTATAGAGCTGTATAGATGACTAATATAAAGGCCTTACTCTAAAGAAACTTTTAGTAGTATGGTAGGAATAAAATAAGAAAACAAACACTGGGCACCAGTGGCTCACACTGGTAGTCTAGCTACTTGGGAGGCTGAAATCTGAGGATCATGTGCTTCCATGCCAGTCCAGGCAAGACAGTCTGTGAGACACTTATCTACAAATAACCACCAGAAAGCCAGTGGCTCAAGTGTTAGAGCGCTAGCCTTGAGTACAAAAAGCTCAGAGAAAAGGTCTAAGCCTCAAATTTAAGCCCCAGGACCAGCACCAAAAAAAGAGAAAATAAATTATTTTAGAATGACAATAATGTGCCCCAAATCTTAAGTATTAAGTAATATTTTAAAAGAAAAGTACATTTTCTAAAAAAAAAAAAACAAAACAGAAAACCTTCATGAAGGGGAGTATATGTGATATGAGTATTGAAGTACTATACATGCTAATAAGCTTGTATAAAATGAAAAGCTTTCTTGTTAGGGGGAAGAATGAGAAAAGACATGGGAATAGAAGAACTCAGAGTAAAGAAGTAACAAATGACTATACCGGAAAAATATGAAGAAATGGGGGAACACAAAGCTGCACAGACAAGTGGGCCACATTGACTCTTTTGAGTCAGGCTAAGGAATCTGTTTAAGCTGCAATGAAAGCCAAGAGTCAAAAGAGATTATTATAATAGTCTAGAGGTAAAGTTAGAACCAATAAACTAGGAAAGGGTATAGAAAATATAGACATGAGAAACACCAAACGTAACAAATAAGAATTGGCAAAGAGGAAAGGGAAATCTAGAAAAATGTGCCTTGGTTTCAGCCTCAGTGACTATGAGGGTATTGGCACCTTTATCAAAAGTACAAAAGTGAAAAATAAGGAATTAATGGAAGAGAAGGGTGTTTTAAGCTTTGAATATGTTGGCTCTGAAGATGCTAAATCAACATTGAAGTAGTCATGACACACTTGCAGTAGCAATGTAGAATTTTTTAAACTGTGCACTGAACACAGAAGTTGTAGTCAGTATTTGCTAGTAACAGCTGAAATGACAGCAAATTGTTTCCATAGGATAAATGTCTCATAAAGGAGCTAAGGAAAAAGTTTCACTAGAGAGCTATTAGTATTTCACACTGCCTAAGTTAAACTTATTGTTGTTCCCTGATTATAGGCAAAAATACATGAAATTCATGTATGAAGAATCAATAAGTTGGTATCAATCATAATAGTGTTATCAGATATAACTCTGGAGTTTGAAGACAAAAAGCTCCTGTGTGCCCTGCTTTCTGTGAGGCACACTCTCTCAAGGCAACACTCTCTGCCTCAATTCTTACTACTGTCTATTCTGTAATTTGGTGAAGCCTACTACAATTTTCTGTCTCCATCCATTTGTCCATTTATTTGCCAATAAATATTGTTGAATATCCACACACTGACGAATCAGTAACCACTTATGGAGTTCACAGCCTATATAAGTAGTAAACCCATCAATACATAATAATATAACAGAGAACTGGGGAATACAGAGAAACCAGGGTAAGGAACTATACTGGAGAAAGAGCTGCATCTTCATAAAGGATGACCTGGGAAGGCTTCTCTAAAGAAGTTACACTTAAGCTAGACTTGAGATCTCCAGGCAACTGGAATAACAAGTGCAAAGCCCTCAGAGTAAGATAGTGCTGGGCTGAGAGATCAATATACCCAAGATATAGTAAGAACAACAGAGATAAGAGATGAGATCAGAGAGTCAATAGAAGCCACATCAGGCTGGGGATGTAGCTTGGTAGTAGAACACTTGCCGATCATGCATAAGGCTCTGGTTTCCATCCCTAGCACCTAAAAAAGGGGGGAGCAGGGAGAAAGAAAAGAAATGAAAACCTGACAAGGAATTTAGACGTACTTGAAGTATGCTGGGAAACCAATGAAGAGTTCTGAGCAAAATACAATATGGAAAATACAATATGAAAAATCCAGGAGATTTTTCTGAAGATTTTCCCCACTGCCAAAGAACAATTAGCCTAGCATTTTCCAAATTCACTTAACCAGAAACCATTTTTTAATCTGGCACCTATTAAAAATCCACAGAACACATACTTTTGGATACAGTACCCTAGAACAATGTCTCTCAAACTTTAATATGAACAAGAATCAACTGGAAACCTTGTTGAAATATGGATTCCTAGGTCAACCCCAGTAATGCTGAATCAGTAGATATAGGAAGGAGTTGGAAAATAAACATTTTTCATAAGTTCTCAGCTGATATTGATGCAGGGATGATTAGAACATAGAGATAAATACATAAATACTGAACTATAGCTGAGGTTGGCATAATAATACACTAAAATTCAATTTTGCCTTTCCCTTTGATCTGTTTTATTTCTTTTTTAAATTATTGTGAAAATGCCGTACAGAGGGTTACAATTACATGGGCAAGGTAATGAGTACATTTCTTTTTTGGGGGGGGGTCCAGTTGTGGGGCCTGAACTCTGGGCCTGGGTGCGCGCTGTCCCTCAGCTCTTCAGCTCAAGGCTAGCACTCTACCACTTGAGCCACAGCACCACTTCCGGCTTTTTTCTTTTTGCTTATGTGGTGCTGAGGAATCGAACCCAGGGCCTCATGCATGCAAGGCAAGCGCTCTACCACTGAGCCACCTTCCCAGCCCATGAGTTCATTTCTTATCAAGTATTGTTGCCTCCTTTGTTTCCCCTTCCCATCCCTTTCCCCACACACACACCCTCCCCCCACCCCCCCAACACCCCCCTCCCTGCCCCACGCCAAAGTTGTAAAGTTCGTTTTTCAACATAATGTCTTGTACATCTCATTGTTGCAATGGGTCCACCTGTATCCATATTTAAACAATTTGCTTTTTCCCTTCCCCTCCACAAATTATACCAACATCAAATACAGTGAAAACAGGGGTTATACTGTGGAGGAGGGACATACAAAGCAGCAAAAAAATATCTTATAAATATGCTAGAAACAATAGCAAGAAAGAAAAAGCATTTGAGTCCTTATCTTGGGATTCATGTCTCAGACATATACTAGTTATTGCAAATAAAGGAAACCATGGGACCTATGTTTCTTTGGGCCTGGCTTACTTCACTTAAAATAATTTTTTTCCAAGTCTTTCCATTTCCTAACAAATGGGGCAATGTCATTCTTTCTGATGGAGGCATAGAATTCCATTCTAAAAACAATATAAGACCATCAGATACTCTCATCTATGGAAAATAGGCCACATACCAAAGCCTGGGTCTCACAGTTCCTGACTTCAAGATATCTCTCTCTAGATTAACATATACTTTCTTACTTTCTTTGTTCTCCCCTTATTGACATATCATGGGCAATCCAACTGAGGACCATGTCAACTACCAGAAAAGACTCCTTTATTGGGCTTGATTCTACTTGCACATGAAATTCTATTAACCTCTTTTAGCCTCCTTCTAGGGACCAGGGAAAACTGTTACCAGTAGCTGGAGATTAATATACTCTCTATAAAATATTTATTTTATTTCAGTACCACCAGCAATTTTTAAAAATATTAATGGGCATTAATAAGAATCATAATTATCCCCAAGCCATCAGAGCTCTTAAAGATGAAGATTTATCATAATTTTTCCATTATTTAGGCATCACCCAACTAAGGAATTAATGGCACCTTCACAGGAACTTTCATGTACCTAATTGAGAAGTGTTAAGCATTTATTTGTGTGTTCTTTTGTAAGCAGGAACTTCTATTCTCCATGTGTAGTTTCATAATAAAGGGTTGAGACATACTAAACACTTATGAGGAAAGAGAATGTTTTTGAAAATTCAGTCAGAACCCAGGAGAATTTTAATAACATGGGAATTTTAATGAAACCTGAAAAGGTGTGAATTATGGGAACATGTAAACTGTAACAGAATAAAGAATTGCCCTATATTTCAGTTTGACTTGTATAAGTCATCCTGTCCCCATGGAAAGATTTGAGATTTGGCAAATTGACCATGGTCCTTCCAATGGGCTAAGTGAAACAAAAAACTTGCTGACCAGTTATGGAAAACTGAATCTGTGCACATTCCTGCACTAAACAGATGTAACCAAGTAAAAATGACAAAAGAGCTTAGCCTTCTATCTCCTACTGTATAGATCACTTTGGTAATCAACATCTGACCTATAGGAAGAACTTCAGAAATCTGGACAAGTAGAGTTGCTCTGAGGCAAAATGATACAATTTTACTTAAGACCAACTCCTCTTTCCACAGCCCTCAGAGATGACATCTCTTGGGTAGGAGCAAGATAGGTTCCCTTTACATAAGTGCCTGGGGGCCTGTAAGGATCACTATACACACTATTCTAGGATACAAGAAAAGCAGTATCATGAGCTCTTATTCTGTCAATGATCTGGCCTTATGGATCTGCCTAGCATGTAGTGAGAAGGTTTACCCTGACCCTGTGAGCAGTCCCAATTAACAACAGGTTTATTATAAGAAAACCTGATTTTTACTGATTATCTTGGCTGTATGATTCATACTAATTGGACTAGGAATACAAAATGCCAGAGAATTGAAAAATAGATTGAGGCCTGACATATATTTCATACGTATGTGCTTTGTCACATCCTTCATTCAACAAACATTTAATGAACTCCCACTGTATGCCAGGTTCTGTGCTGGGACTGCACATATAGACAGCAATGATGCAAGTTGGCCTACAAGAAGCTAAGAATCTAGTAAGGGAAACAGACATCTATATCAATGGTCCTATAAAAACTGTAGATGTAAGCTAGTGGACTTCTTCCTTACATAGATAGTATGTTTGCTGGAATAGGAAAGACAAACAAAAATTCACAAAGTGAAAGAAAAGACAGAGTTGAAAAAGAAAATCACTAAGAGCAAAGGGAACAGCATGGACACAGGCTTGGAAGCACTGGAAAGTACTACTTGATTAGGTATACTCTTAGTAGCTCAATGTAACAGCTACTTAGTGGCTTCTGAGGAAGCTAAATGTTAAAATGGTCAAAATCATAAAGGGTTGATTATTTCATCCTAGGAGGTAAGACTTTATCTTGTAAGTAATAGGATTTAATGAAATGATTTTAAGAAAAAGGATGAGATGGTCAATATATTTTAGCTTTTCTGGGAAGGACAGATTGCAAGAAACACTGGGAGAAAACAGAGCTTATCCATATTCATTGGCCTAAGTATAGATAAGAACCCAAACCAAGGTAGAAGTACAAAGAAGAAAGAAAAGACAAGAGGAATTTGGGAGTTAAAGTCATGAAACTTTTGTGATTGATTTGATGTGGTTGAAGAGCAAGATGGTGGAGCCAGAGAGTCTGAATAGGGTGCTGAGATGGATCACATTGCCATCTACCAAAACAGGAAATATGAGGGAAGGAATCAGTCTGGGGGAGGGGAAAGATGATGAGTTCAGTTTGACAAATGATGAGTTTTGAGGTGCCTGTGGGATATCTAGGCAATGAGCCTAATGGAATCCAGGCCACAGACTTGCAGGAAATGGCATAATATCAGCCTTCATTCCTAATACCCATTTTTCATGATTTAGGATACCACTCCTGTATTCCAACTGACAACTCATTCACTACCAGGAATCTAGAGAGGCATCTTGTACCTGGGTGCTTTCTGCCACTTTGGCAAAGAATCATGGCACTAAACTAACCCTAAGAAATTATTTATTTCCTTGATTCCTTGACTTCCAAACTAGACCATATGTCAGACTTACTGGGAACTTTGTGAGTTAAAGATTCTCAGGAGGTATATTCTAACTCCAGTCCTGTTTTCATATTCTGACTATTAAAGGCCTCATTTTCCTGAGGATGAAGAATTTGGAAACAAACATGTATTTTGTATGTGGTATTTTCATATTCTATATTGGGCACTTTATATATACTATATTGTTTAATCCTAAATAGACATTATTACCCATATTTGGGATAGTACTGAGATCCCTAAAGGCTATTTTCTGACCATATGGCAGAACTATGATTCAAACACATTCCTGTCTGATATCTAAGCCTAGGAACTTGCCGCCCTACTTACCATACTGCTAATGTTCATGTCAACTATATTATATAGTCTACCACTATCTTACCTTAAAAGAAAGAGAGACACAGAGAGAGACAGAGAGAGAGAGAAACACACCACAGAGAATATCTTAGTCTGTGTGCATCAAACAAATCATGTGGTCCATTATTGACATTATTGTAGCTTTATACTATTTGTCTGTAAAATGCATGTGATTCGCATTTTTAAAAATTAGAAGCTTCCAGTCAATTCTCCCTCCTCAATGATGGCTACCAAATATATCATTGCTAAACCACAAAAGACTACGTTAAAGCAACATTTGTTAAAGTGACATTAAAGGCTCTGGATGAAAACCACTAGAGTGGGGAAAAGCCTTACAGTTGAAATGTCCTCATAACTCACTTGTGGTGCGTGGCATGGATGGCGGGTGCTGGGAGACCACCCACTGACCCACGGCTCCTACCGCAAAGATACAACAAGAGAAAGTTGTGAACACCCTGGCTTTTAGGAATTCAGATGGGATTGATAGTGTTTCTTTTAAAGAAATTATTCATCATCTCTTCATAGTCAACTTTCCTAGTCATATTTTAGAAAGAGAAAAAAGCCAAAAGAAAAAGGTTTTACAACTTGATCTAGAAAAGCAGTCTGTGAGATGTTTCACTCTCCAGCCAAAAAAGGACATCTGTCAGGGGTTAACAGTATATAATCCCTCCTTGAAGGGCATAAAGACACTTTCAGGGAGCTACAAGGGTCAAGAGTGAGCTACTAAGTAATGGTGACTCTTTCCTGCAGAGCTGCCAGTAAATATTAGAGACCTGAAACACACCTTTCAAAACAGGAAAATGCAGCACAGTGACAGAAGTGAACAGAGGTAAAAGGAATCTTCAGGAGTGGAGTCAGATCATGCATTTATTTCTTTATTCATCCAATAAACAGTTGAGAAGCTACAATACTCCAGGTTCTGAGAAAACAAAAATTTAAGAGGGGCATGGTCTCTGCCCTCAAAAAAATCATACTCTAATGCCAAAATAGTCAACTAAGCAAGTAATTACAAAGTAACAAGACCTATCTTCTCAGAGGTTTAGAAACAAGTACTCCAGGAGTACAAAAGAGGGAGAAACTAGTTCTACCTAGAATAAAATTTAAAAAACTGGAAATTTTGCTGAGAAAACATTTCATCTGAATCATCAAGTATCAGAAGGAGGAAAGACAGGGATCTGAAGATGAGGAAAGGCATGCTGAAAAATATGGACCTACAAAAGGTCAGTGTGTCCAAAGCTTAGGGTTGATGTATGGCTAGATGCTGATGATAGTCACATAGTGAAAGTGGTTGAAGATACATTCAAACCCTAAATCACAAGCTTTCCTTTTCAGGAGGAAATGTTTGAGTTTTATCCTAAAGTCAAGAGGGATCTCTAGAGAGGTCTTTTAAATGAGGAAATTACATGAAAATTTTACATTTGGAAAAAGAACCATAGTTCGTTGTTTACTGAAATGGTATATGAAATGAGCTCTTCTGTGAGGCATGGAAGTGCTTAACAAAGTAGAGAAGTCAGAAAGTAAGGATCTTAGAGAAAAATTATCCCCATGTATGTGACTCTCTGGATTGAGAAACACTTCTTGAAATGAGGCCCCGTTAGGGTAAAGATATAACACCAAAGCTTTCATTCTATTCCTCTCTTCCACTCCCAGGCAGAAAAGACATGTGAGGGAGACAACAAAGCAGGTTACCCTTCCTCTCACCTAAGATGTATCCTAAGAGGAAATTAAGCATGGAAGCAAGCAGGGTTAGGATGAAAACTGTAAAGTGTACAATATATAAAGAGAAGAGGAATCCTGACAGATACAGAGATAACCAAATTCCCTATTCTGAGGCATAATAGTCTAACTTTCCCTAAGTGACCAGATCTAGGTCTTGAAAATCAACAGAATTCTTCATGCAATAAGTCATGATGAAAACATTCTAATAGGCATGATGGATTAGAATAGACCCATTTCCAAAGAATGGAAAATACTAGTAAAAGTCAGATATATATAAAATAAGTGAGGTTTAAGGAGAGTGAGTCCCTACATTTAACAATGGGCCAGGAAGAGACTAGAAATTATGCTCATCTAGTCAGAACTAGTTGAAAAGAGAAATCTGACCACTTCATGATGCTTATACTAGGCTCTGTCCTATGCTGCTTTGTTCCTGCTGAAGAGGGACAAATAATAGAGATGAAAGTCTGGGACCTCAGTCCCTTTATTTTCTAAGAGGGAAAGGCCAAGTCTGCTGAAGATACAAATGGTTTGTCCAAGGTTTGCTTCCTATCATCCTTTCAAGGATTGCTGAGGGGAAGTTTCAAAGCTTATCATAACAGGCCCTTGGGGGAAGTTTCCAAGATAACCCAAGAAAAGCATATCTAGTTTCTTCTGGGAGTTTTGGCCTTGGAAAGGAGCAAGCAAGACACATAACAGGAAATAAGATACTACTTGACTTGGCTTTTTGTTCATTTTTTTAAATGATAAGCATGTTTATTTTCCCAATCACATACATATATGCACAAGTATATTTTAAATTATATGTGTACATAGATAGTTGTGCTTGGTTTTACAATGCCAAAGGTAATTTCATCATTGTACAAACATCATATACTACCTACAAATTAAGATGGCTATGAGATTATTAATAATCTCACTGAATCACCATTGCATAAGTGACCCATCACTGACTGAAATATAATTATATAGTGCTTGACTATACAAGTGTATGTATATGTGCATGTATGTACATCTATATATAGATACATAAACATAGATATATATATATATATGCCCTTAACTACAGTGAAAAGTCCACCTAAATGGTAACTTGAGCAAATATCACTTTCTCATATCTTACCAGAAGTTGATAACTTGAGAGAGAACACTGACATTAGCCAAACATCTAGCCCTTAAGAACACATTTATAATTTACTTATGGCTTAATATTTCTACTAATAGGATTAATAAATCATGTTTTCATTCAACTGATTTTCTGTGTGGTATGAATTTTTTATGCCAAATCTTAATATGTTTTATTTTGCTTCTTCGTTTTCCAGTTCATTTTTGCAGCTACAGAGAGAAATTTCTTAGTCTGTATTGCCGCCTTTCTGCTGTTGTGGAGCTGGATTCTCTGAATACCCAACAGTCCTTGAGGGAAGCGATTTCGGACAGTGAGGTTGCAGCTGCCAAACAACGACATCAGCAAATTTTAGACTTCATTCAGGTAAAAGTTGGTTTCTTCTCAAAAAGAAGAGGCACAATGGAAAGGGTAAGCACCAAGAAAGGGAAAGGGAAGCAATTTGGGCTGATTTGAAGAAAATACAGTGTAAGCAGGCTGTTGATCTGGCTAAAATATGGCTCTCTTAGGGAGCTATGGGTTTTGAAACAAAAGCTTAAGAAAATGTTACAGATAAATCACACTACTCCTAAGAATTATATCAGCCAAGATGATAGGTAGCAAGTGGCCTTCTATATTGTTAAGAAAAAAAGATCACTTTCAGAAGTAATGAAAAAAATATTCTCCTTATGCTGGTAGCCCATTGATAATTCTAGCAGAATTTTTTAAAATATATATTAAGTTCCTAAATAGCTCATAGAAAAAAAAGATAATCTACCAGTTAATCTAAGTACAGTTAGACCTAAGATTCCTCATGTTTTGGAATTGTTTCTACCAAAGTTGAAATTTCATGTGTGGCTCAATGTAAAAAAAAAATGTATTATTTGTTCAAGTTCTCAACTACAAATGTCTATGGTGACACTTCAGGGTCTTGTTTGTGAAAGGGATACTAACTAATAATCAAGAAAATCTAGGTCTGGCTTGATATTGCTTTAGCAAATCTTGGAATCAGCCAAGGGCTGGTGGCTCATGCCTGTAATCCTAGCTACACAGGAGGCTGAGATCTAGGGATAAAGCCAGTCCAGGCAGAAAAGTCCATGAGATTCTAATCTCCATTTAACCACAAAAAAAAATCTGGAAGTGGAGTTATGGGTCAAGTGGTAGAGCACTAGCCTTGAGTACAAAAGCTTAGGGACAACACCTAGGCCCTGAGTTCAAGCCCCAGACCTGGTACAAAAAAAAAATTGGAATCATTGTAGTACTTACCCAATTCACAAAATAAATCTAATAGCAATAGCTACCCTCTAAATTATCACCATGATATTCAGTCCAATTTGATGAATAGTTATTAACATCAGGGTTGAACACAGTATGAAAGCAAAAGGCTGGAACAGTAATTCCTGACTTTAAGTTTAAAACTTATTAAAGTAGGAAAGGTTTGTCTATATTGCTTGTAAAATGTTACATGACAAAGAGAAATTCAAATACAAAAAGAAGAAAGTTCTGTGTCAACACAAAGAAGAAAAATTTACTTCCACATATGGCTGTCATGGGAGGACATTCCTTAACATCTGAACCTGGCCTATGAGATAGATTAGAAGGAGAAAAAAACAGAACATGAAACATTCAGAAAGGAACTGTAAACAGATAAGGAAAAGAGCAGAAAAACAGGGTTTGGGTAAGTAGTAAGTAGCTAAGGTTGGTTGGGGCAAATTGAGTATTGAATTATAGTGAGAAATTAGGCAAGATTGAAAGATAGCAATGAAATCAGACCACAAGGACTTTATTAAAGGCCATGGTAAGGAATTTGCCCTTAATTCTGTAAGCAAAAGGGAGCAATCCAAAGTTTTAGAAACAGTAAATGATAGACTCTCACAGCTCTGTTAAGGACCGATTCAGTCAGAGAGGATTTTCTTCTTGTATGCACTGCTATGGCCATAGTAGCTGTACACTGATAGCAATTTATTCTGCTTGGTCACCAAATAATTTGCATATATCTCCTGGATTTAAGAAGAAAATTAAATGTAAGGAAACCAGATAAGAAACTGACAATTATCAAAACAAGGGGTAAAATGAGAATGTAAGGTAAGGAGATATTGTAAACTTGAGGCCTAATAATTTTCTAGAAATTCTGATCTCACCTGAAAAATAAGGATGATGATAATACACACTACATTTATCATAGTGTTACCGAATGAATTCAGTGAGTAAATGCATGGGAAGCATTCAGCAAAGTGCTTGGCACATACAATAAATTCTGTATTAATTCATTCATAACTAAGAAGGAAAACCCCTTTGAAATATGAATATGCAAAGATTGAATCTTTTGAAGTATTTAGGAACAAAATATTGCTAAGTAGTGAGCAAACAAATCTTCAGGATTATTCTATTTTCTCATGCTATAAATTAAGTATTTTAAATGACTTCCCAGAGTAAGGAAATGACTTTTCAAAAAATTACTTGTTCTCTTGACCTGAGAATGTGGTAACTAACATGTTTAAACACTTATTTACTTCATTTTCAGTAAAAATGGAACATGAAAGGTAGGAAAGGACTAGGATATAGAGAGATATGGAAGATAAGCCAGAGCTTATCTTTTGAGCCAGTAAGGGACAATGATGCCCAGTTAGAATCATGAACTAGAAGTCAAGAAGCACTTATTTTAGATCTCAATATCTACTCATAAACTCTTGAGCAATGAACAGTTCGTAAGTCCTGGGAGGGAGTTATCTCCTCATATGTTAAATGTTTGCATTTGACTAGATAACTTCTAAGGGCCTAGTCAGCTCTAACATTTTAAAACCTAAAAACCAGAAATATTTCAGAAAAACACTCCTCTGACTATGCCTAAAGTTGTGTGACTGTCTTATTCCACTTAAACCTCCCTGAATCCAATACTTTTTACTCTTTCTTCATTCTGTGGTAGTCTTTAACTCCTCCCAGAGTTCCAGGCTCCATTTTCACTTCCTATTACCCTTCTTCTTTTCTGGTTTGCTTAGCATAGGGCTTTGTTAACTTTTTCTGTTTCCTTTACATCATAACTTTAAAAGGGCTAAAGACAGGCAAGGCCAGGATCTTGGCAAGTTTTCACCTCCTCTGGTCTCCTTGAGAGCCCCTCTATACTCTTTTCATCCAGCCAGATACACATACACATGTATAAAAGCTAATTCCCAAAGAATTCAAAAAACAGCTTTTTTGGCAGGGTAAAACCAAACTATTCCCCTGCACCCTTAGCTTTCTATATACCATCTTGTTCCACCCAACATCATATGGATAACTATAACTCAATTTTTATCTCTCCCTTAACTATGTTGACCTCTTAGTTTCTCTCTGTGTGTCTGTACCTCTCTCCCCCTCCCTCTTCCCCTCCTTCCCCTCCTCCCCCCCTCTCTCAAAATCAGTAGTTGCCATTTGCCCATTGGTTTTCACAACTTACCCACCACAGACTATAACCTGCAGAGGCAACTACCAGTCATGGGAACATTTAACTCCAGATTTAAGACAGTGAGGAATTCATTGCACAAAACACAACATTGTAAAGAACAAGGGAGTCCATGTAAATTCAGTTAGAAAAAAAGCTAAAGAGAGCAGTCAGGAAGAGAGGATAAGAATCATTGATAAGGCACACACAGTTTTCAAATAGTACACACAGCAGAAACATCAAAGTAAGTGAAAGAAGAGAAGGAGGGAAGAAAAGAAAAATGTCAAACTAGGAGACCCGAGTCTTAACATATTTTGAGCTGCTAAAGCCTAAAGAGCAATTAGGACATAATTTATATGCTGTAATGTTTCAAATGCTCCTAAGCTGTAATAGGACATAGCTCATTATATATAGCCAATCTGTCATCCCCTCAAGCACCTTGTAGCTGTGCTATGAGAAAACCAATCACTATTACATCTTAATAAAAATATTATCTTGCTAGATAGAAGGGAAAGGGACATAATTTATATGAAGAAAAGTGAAATTTTTAAAGAGCAAGGTGAGAAATGGATGCAGAACTATCAATAGACAGAGAGTTAATGATCTTTCTTTTAAAAAATGTGTCAGCAAGTCTTTAGAAGCTGAGTTTGAACCTTAAAGTCAGTGGGGATTATGTTGTCAGTTACTTTTATAACAACAAAAAGTAAAATGGGTGAAAAATTGTACATCATGTAAAGCTACCAAGCTAAGTCCCTTTAAACTCAATCCACAGGTCTCCTTGTACCTATGGATTTTCTTTTCTTCAGTTAAGACCTGTACACCTCATCACTGAGAAAAATTAAGAAGCAATTTCTAGAAAAAATTCTATACTGACTCTATTGATGTTCAGAAGAGACTGGAGCAGTCTTATCCAAAGGGAACTGGTAGATTATTTTTAATAATTATATCCATCTCCTAAAGCAGCTATACCAAATTAGCATAGACTTGGTGCCTTGAAACTAAAGAAATTTATTCTCCCACAGTTACGGTGATTAGGAGTTTGAAATTCATGCACTGGCAGAACTCCACTCTTTCAGAAGTGTCTAGGGAGTCTTTTCTTTGCCTCTTCTAGCTTCTGGTGGCTGTTGCCATTCCTTCACAAACTTCCATCTCTGTTATTGTCACATTGCCTCTTTCTATTGTATCTGCCCCTTCCTCTTTTGCATTTGTTTGTTGTTGTTGTTTTTAAGTACTGGGGATTGAACCCAGGTATTCAGGCATGCAAGTACTCTACAATTGAAGCCATGTCTCCAACCTATGTCCTCTGTATGTGTGTGTGTGTGTGTGTGTTGGTATGAGGTCTCGTCCCCAACCTATGTTCTCTGTATGTGTGGGTGTGTGGGTGTGGGTGTGTGTGTGTGTGTGTGTGTGTGTGTGTTGGTATGTGGTCTCTGACCCTGCCCAAACTAACCTTGAATTCATGATCTTTCTATCTTCACCTTCTGGGTAGCTAGGATTACACATATTCACCACCAAGCCAAGCCTCTGTCTCACTTGATACAAATACCTCCTTCTCTCAAAATCCTTAACTTAATCACATCTCTTGCTACATAAGGTAATTTTTACTTTTCTATCATATAAGGTAATATTCATGGATTCTGGGGAATAGGACTGCAGATCTACCTTCAGAGTTCAAGCCCAGAAAACACACACACACACACACACACACAAACTCACACACAAACACACAACACACACACACACACACACACACACACACACACACACCCCAAATGAACAGAAGAGAAGATCTAGAAATAATCCTACATACCTACATCCATTTGATTTCTGACAAAGGTGCCAAAAAAAAAAAAACCATGAAAATGATAGCATCTTCAACAAAGGTGATTAAAAGCTGACCAGCTGAGTATGGAAGTCTGAAATAAGATCCCTATCTCTCACCCTGTACAAAAGTCAACATGAGGGGCTGGGAAGGTGGCTCAGTGGTACAGTGCTTGCCTGGCATGCCTGAGGCCCTGGGTTCGATTCCTCAGCACCACATAAGCAAAAAGAAAAAAGCCGGAAGTGGCGCTGTGGCTCAAGTAGTAGAGAACTAGCCTTGAGCTGAAGAGCTGAGGGACAGTGCCCAGGCTCAGAGTTCAGGCCCCACGACCCGACCCCCTCCCCCAAAAAAAGTCAATATGAACTGGATCAATGGTCTTAGTGTAAAACCTAAAACTTTGAAACTACTAAAGGAAAATATAGGAAAACTCTTGTTGAACATATACAAATAGGTAATGCCTTTCTGAATACAACTCTAGTTACCCAGGAAATAAGAGCAAGAAGTAACAGTGAGATGGCATCAAGTTAAAAACTTCTGCATAGCAAAGAAAACTATTACAGGACATCAAGAGGCAACCTACAGAATGGGAGAAAATCTTTGCTAGCTACCTATCAGATAAAGGATTAATATCTAGAGTATATAAAGGTATCCAAAAGTTAAGCACTAAAAAGAGAATCCACTGAATAAATGGCAAATGAATTAAACAGACAGTTCTCCAAAAAAATGTATAAATGGTCAAAATAATAGGCAAAGAAATGTTCAACATTCCTAGCAATAAAGGAAATGCAAATCAAAACAATACTGATATTCCATCTCATCCTAGTCAAAATGACGTCTACCAAGAAAACAAACAACAAATATTTGCAAAATTCGGGGGAAATGAACCTTTATACACTGTTGGTTGCAATGTAAAATAGTGCAGCCACTTGGAAATCAGTACGGAAATTCCTCAAGAAACTAAAAATAGAGCTGGACACTGGTAGTTCCCACCTGTAATCCTAGCTATCAGCAGGCTGAAATCTGAGGATCAAGGTTTGAAGCCAGCAGGGGAAGACAAATTCAAGAAATTCTTACCTCCAATTAATCAACAAAAAGCTGGAAATGGAGCTATGGCTCAAGTGGTAGAGTGCTAGCCTTAAGTGAAAAGCTAAGTAAGAGTGCAAGGCCTTGAGTTCAAGCCTCATTACCAGCATAGATCAAAGTAATATAAGTTAGCGGCACTATTCACAATAGCTAAAGTATACAATAAGCCTAAGTACCACCAAACAACAAATGGATAAAGAAAGCATGGGAGGTTCAGAACAGAATATTACTCAGCTATTAAGAATGATGAAATTATGTCATTTATAAGAAAATGCATGGAAATGGCTATCAGCAGGTTAGACAAAATAAACCAGACTAAGACAAATATCCTATGTTCTCTCTCATACGTAGAATCTAGACCTTGGAGGCAGAAAGTGATTAAGTATGAAAAAGGCATTGAGGGTGAGAATTAGTGGGAGGAGGAAGATGAAAAGAGAGGGTGAATGGAAGGTAACTATGACTGAAGTCATATATATATATATATATATATATATATGAAAATAGAATAACACATGTACAAAATAGAATAAACCCATTAAAAATGTTTCAAAATGAGAGGAGAGAAATAAGAGTAATAGGTGATTTTAATCAAAGTACTTAAATATGCATTCAAAATATTACAATGAAAATGGTTTGGTACAATGACTATGCATTAATAAATAAATATAAGGAAGAATAAGCTATTTAAACTGTTCTATTCTTTAGAAGCAGTTATAGTATTAAAGCAGTAAGTTTAATAAAGTTCCTTCTTTTCTTTTAACATAGGTACAAGCATTCTGAAATTCAGAGTTTACTATTTCCCTTCCCCACACTGTTCCAGTAAAGAATATTTCATTAAATGAAGGGAGTTAACATTTGGTATGTGTGAGCAATGAACCCTGCAGGACCACAGAACATATTGAAATTCATTGTTTTACTCAATTATCACAGTAACCATAAGAGGTATTTTTTTCTAAAGCTCAAAAGGTACAGTGACTTGCTAAAAGTTATTATAGAACTGAACAAAACTGGAATTTCCTCTATTTCCACCAAATGACAAAGGCGTAGTTTCTTAGGAGAAAATATGCAAAACACAAGAAATTATAAGAAGAGGTGTTTTCTGGCTTTGAATACCTATTTTGAAAGTATTGACTTTCACTTAAAACTTTCTCAGGAAAATGTGCTTTTTTTTTATTTCTCCAGTACTACAATTTGAACTACTAGGTAGGTAGGCTACTTCTCATATTCCCACCGCTTTTTTTGCTTGAGTTAATTTTAGGTCAGGCCTTGCGTTTTTGCCCAGGCCAACCTCTAACTGCAATCCCCCTACCAATGCATCTAACATAGATGCCAAGCTTTCTGATTGATATTTGGGGGATCTCGTTTTTTTTTTGTGCAAGCTGGCCTTTAATTGTGAACCTCTTGATCTTTATCCACAAAGTAGCTGGGATTACATGCATGAAACACTGTGCCTGGCATAAACTTCCTTATTTTAATAGCTATGTGATAACTTTTATCATTTTATTCTAAAGCAAATAGATGAAGTGTGGCGTGAAATGAGATGGATAATGGATGCTCTACAATATGCAAGATACAAACAATCAATTTCTGGCTTACCTATCACTAAGCTGATAAACCCCTTGGATGAGCATCATCTAAAAAAAATCAGCTCTACATCATCACATATAGACTGTCTTCCATCACCATCTCCATCCCCAGAGATGCACAGACGAAAAGCAGTGAGTGGTAAGCAGCGGGGACTATTGGAGGTGGAAACCAGCTGGAGATGGGAGGGGAAAAGAAAGGTGACTATGACCTAAATATTCATACACACGTACAAAAATCATTAAGAATTACTTAAAGCCAGACATCGATGGCTTACGCCTGTAATCCTCATTACTCAGGAGGCTGATATCTGAGGATCACAATTCAAAGCCAGTCCAAGCAGGAGACCCTTATAGCCAATAAGCCACCAGAAAACCAGAAGTGGCACTGTGGCTCGAGTGGTAGAGCATTAGCCTTGAGCTGAAGAGCTGAGGGACAGCGCCCAGGTCCAGAGTTCAAGCCCCACCACTGACAAAAAAAGAAAAAGTGTGGGGTTTTTTTTGGTTGTTTTGTTGTTTTTTTTTTTCTTTTTGGTCTGTTGTGGGGCTTGAACTCTGGGCTTGAGCGCTGTCCCTCAGTTCTTCAGCTCAAGGTTAGCACTCTACCACTTGAGCTACACCAACACTTCCGGTTTTCTGGTGGTTTATTGGAGATAAAGAGTTTCATGGACTTTGCTGCCCAGGCTGGCATTGAACAGTGATCCTCAGATCTCAGCCTCCTGAGTAGCTAGGATTACAGGTGTGAACCACCGGTGCCTGGCAAAAAAATAAAATGTTTTAACTGGGGGTGAGAATAAGGGAGAGTAACAAAGGTCATGAATTTGATCCAAGCACATTACATGCCTGTATGTAAATAATTCACTAAAATATCTGTACAATTAATATATGCTAATTTTTACAGGGGAGCGGAAGACAAATCTAAAAATACCTAAAGTTCTTTTATTCAGTCACTAGATGCTTGGTCCTCTACTGATGAAGTTCTTTGTTCAATGAGTGGTAAGAATGTAGAAATACAGAAGAAACTAAACCATAGGAAGAACCTAGGGTAATGACCTGAGATCAGCTCCACTTAAAAGAAAGGAAGTCTCAGTCCAGTTCTAGTCACTATTTCCAATATATAAAATACATGAAGCAAGGAAAAAAGACTCAGAGGCGCAGAATGAAGACTGCCACATGAGGCAGTCAGCCCTCACTGGGCAGAAGCTGACCAAACTAGCAAGAACAGGCTCAATGTCAGACAGAGAGGCAGGAAGCAAGTCTCATCTGAGGTGTGAGGTGAAGTCAAGTCCCCTATCTACATGGCACCAATGTGCTAGCACAGAGAATGTATGAGAGAAAGCTTCCATAAACTACAACGCTGAACCTGAGGCCAAGTAAGTCACTTAGCCTTATCAATCTGATGAAAATACTTAGCAAGTTATCTATCTCCTCCTGTGGAATTTAAGTTTGAGTTTACATGAAATATATAATTAGCAAAAAATCTCACTAGGCTAACACAAATATCTACAATATACCTTTGTATGTATAAGCAAGGAAAAAGCACCCTAAGTATAGGGAATACTGCATAACATTCTTTCCTGGAGCATTTTGAGATGAGTATCATTTTTCTAGTTGATTAAAGAAATAGCCATTTGCCAGGCACCAGTGGTTCACACAGGTAATCTGAGCTACTCAGGGGGCTAAGATCTGAAGATCCAAGTAGAAAGAGCTCTTATCTCCAATAAACTACCAAAAAGCTGGAAGCAGAGCTGTGGCTCAAATGGTAGAGTACCTGCCTTGAACAAAAAGGCTAAAGGACAGCACTAGGCCCCAAATTCAAGACTAAGTACAAGCACAAAAATAAATATATATATTTAACTTAAAGAGAGCCATTTAAAGAACCTGGCTTGATTCTAGAGTTCAAAAACGCTCCAATTTTCATAATAGTTTAATAAGCAATCCCAATATGTAGGCTTGTCCCATAGGGGGCAGTATGGTGTAGCAGAAAGAGTTTAAGCTTAGAAATCAAAGCTCTGGATTCAAATCCTAGCTGTCTTACTACCTATATGTGCTGAGAATACTACATCTGAGTCTTATTTTCCAAGAATGTAAAATGGTAATACGTCTGTATCTTAATGCGTTATTAGTGAATAAGACAATCTATATCAGAGATGTATGAAATATAATAGACAATATATTATTCATATATTTAATTTCATTGTTATTATTAAAAATTTTAATAGCATTATGAACCTTTTCTATAAGCAAGTTTGTATGTGATATTTTTCAAAGTTTTGCCTAAAAATCAAAAGTTAGCAAGAGGAAGAATTTATGAGACAGCTTATCAAAGAAATTCAACTAATTCAACAAAATAATTATTTAAACAGTTTCTAGAGTGTATTTTCACAAACTTCCACTGATCTGGGAACACAAATCAAATATGATCTCTTCCAGAAGTTAGTCTGCTGGGAAAGATCAATAAATTAACAACAACAACAAAAAGACTTGGTGATTGGATATGAGTGGCAAAGGTCTACAGAAGGTCAAAGTGAACTTCTTGGAGACAGTGATAGGAATCTGTTACCCTGGACAAGAGGGAACTGAGTATAAAAAGAGGAAAAGGGGAGCATTAAAGTCAGAGATAACAGATTATAACAACTATGTTGTAATTCAGAAAATATACAGGCTAGCTGAAACTCAGGATCCAAAAACATTGTTCTTCTTTCTCTTTTAAAAATATTTATTAGTGAAGCTATGGCCCAAGTGGTAGAATGTTACCTTTGAGCACAAAAGCTCAGCAACAGCATTCTAGCCCCATGCTAAAGCCCCAGGACTGGCACAAACAAATAAATATAAATATATGTATACATATATCTGTATTATGCATATGTATATACATATATATTGATTGATTGTCTATTATGTGTCAAGTCCTCTTCAAGTTGGCAAGGATATAATGATAAAGCAAAGTCTTGCTTCCTATAAAACTATCTGGAAAGAATGACAAGCAATAAAAATAGAAACAAAAAAAGATACTATCAGAGGGTGAAAACTCCAATGTAGAATATGAAAGAGTAAATTCTCATGGGAGCAGGCAGAAAGATGTGGAACACTAGGATGGCCTGCAGAGATTTACCTAAGAAAGTGATATTTGAACCAATCACAGAAGAAAATCTAGAGTTAGAGAATTCCAGGGGTTTATTATTTATTTATTTAGTTGCCAGTCCTGGGGCTTGAACTCAGGGCCTGGGCACTATCCCTGAGTTTCTTTTGCTCAAGGCTAGCACTCTACCACTTGAGCCACAGCACCACTTCCAGCTTTTTTTGTATATGTGGTACTGAGGAATAGAACCAGGGCTTTGCACATGCTAGGCTAGCACTCTACCACTAAGCCACATTCCCAGCCCAAACTTTCCAGGTTTAAAAAAATCCAGCAAAAAGCCCTAAGGTAGATTATGGATGGAAAGAAGGCTGAAGTGCTTGGTGCAGAGTGAATAAAAGAGTAAGTAGTGAGAGACACAGTAGAGGTTGAAGAGAAAGGTTCTATAGTCCCCTTTATAAAGTTTGGGGTTTTTTTTCCTACTTGTGTCAGAAGACAATTAGAAATTATAAGGATTGATAAGATCTGAATGACTCTTTAAAATGAAATCTATTGTTGTGTGAAGAGATTATAGAGGGAAAATACTAGAAGCAAGGAAAACAATTAGGAAGTTATTAACAAAGGAAGTTATTAACAAAGTTAGTAACAAGTGTTTAGTAGGAGTATCTCAGGGTATCATGATGTTATTTGTAAAAATGGAGGGTTTACAAATAGGCTTGGGTAGCTGGATATGTTGAATTTGAATTAGTTTCTGATAAAAAGAAAACAAGAATAATGAAGTCTGGAGCCCAGGAAGGATAATTGAGCTATGTTGGCATGTTGGCATTCAAATAATGTTTGAAACAAATAAAATGCCTGAGTTTCCCTAGAAAGAGTAGGTAAAACAGGAAGAGAAGACTATGCCGGAAGCCTTGTAGAACAAAACAGCAAGACTGGACCAATAAGAAACAGCCATAGAAACAAAATAAAATAAGAGAGTAGTGTCACAGAAATTAAAGGGTGCCAAATAATGAAGAGAGGTTAAATAAAACAACTGTAAATCTTCTGATGTTTTGCTCTTTTCAACAAGGAAGCCATCAGTAATCTTGAGAGCAGTTTGTCAAGGGAAAAAGTGGAAGCCTAACAGATTACTTGAAAGAAAAGAGGGAGGGAAACCAGTAGCTAGAGAACTACAGGACTGGAATGATTTTTTAATGCAGGAAATACACGACTTCTGATGTTCAGCAGTTCATATAATTCCATCAACAACTCTTTCATTCTACCTCTGCCTTCACAGTTCATCTTCCCCCTCTGTTCACAGGCTTTCCCCCGTGTTTAATCTCTTGGCCACAGTGTCCCAAGTAGGCTCCTCTTTTGTGTATGAGGGTAGCCTTCTCTCTGCCATAGAACTTCCTCACTGGCCTGAGGAGGGACTACATATATTACCCACTGGGAGAATCTGGCCAATTACATTCAAACTTAAAATGTGAGTTATCACCAATCTCATCAATCTTTTTCTTAAAACCGCTATCTCGGGCTGGGAAGTTGGCTCAGTGACAGAGTGCTTGCCTTGCATGCATGAAGCCCTGGGTTCAGTTCCTCAGCACCACATAAGCAGAAAAAGCTGGAAGTGGGGCTGAGGTTCAAGTGGTAGAGCTCTAGTCTAGTCTACAGCAGAAGAGCTGAGGGACAGCGCCCAGGCCCAGAGTTCAAGCCCCACGACCAGCAACAACAACAACAACAAAAAAGTTCTCCCTTGGGTTTATCTCTCTGAAGCCATGATTATATGGGCTGTGAAATACCAAAGTTAGAAGGATAGCAAATGACAAATGAAACTTAATGGCAGGGAAGCATTGTTGGGGGGGGGGGGATTTAGTGTCCTATTCCTTGATAAAAGCAAAATCATTTTAGAGCAAAGGAATCTACCCCTGAATATCCTGCCTTCTCCACGAATCTACCCCTGAATATCCTGCCTTCTCCACAAATGTGACCATTTTGATTTGTATGGAAACTATTTATAAAAGGATAGAAAATACAATTTAAAGAGTATTCCACTGGATTATTCTCAAGACAAAGTTTTCAGT